TACTTTTATTTTTTTAAACTCTTATTATAATATAATAACTCTTTCTCTTTTTATTTAATAGAGTAATTTTTTAAATAATATATTAATTAGATAATTAGTATAGATTATAATTTCTAAAAAATATATAATATAATTTAATCTTTTATACGTCGTAATTTCTATTACTTAGCTTTATATATTATTTAAATTTTTTTTTATAAAAGTAAAGTATAGTTAATTAAAATATCGATTAGCTTTAATTCTAATTAACTTTATAAATAATAAATTAAGTTTTAATCTATATCTATATTATTAAATTTTAAAAATAAGATTTATTATATATTTATATCTATATTATAATATATTTTAAAGATTAATTCTTTAACTTCGTTAAAGTAGATATTAATATTAATACTAAGATTTATAATTAAAATTTATTTTCTAATCTCTATATTATTATTATTAAATATATATTTTATAAAAATTATAATTAATATATTATTAATAAAATAAATATTATTTTATCTTATTAAGACTTAGATAAAAATATATATAATAAATAGTTTTCGAAAAACTTTAATAATAATATTATCTTTAAATTAGATTTTAAATACTTTATATATTATTAATATAAATTTATTAAAATATTAAATAATAAATTTAAATAGAATTATTAAGAAATACTTTATAATCTTTATTTATTAGTTAAATATAACGCTTATATTAATATAAAGATCTATATTAATATAATCTTTTTTAAATAAATTTTTAAATAAATTTATAAGAATAATAAAAAAATTAATTTTTAAATAAAGTATAAAAATAATATAAATTAGAACGATATAGAGTTAGACTAGATATATAAGATTTAAAAATATTAAAATATATAATAAATAAACTCTATAAAAGTTTATTAAAATAGTTTTAACTTTAAATTATATAATTATAACTCTTTTATTAAATAATTATCTATTTATCTTTTAAATTAATATAATATAGTATTTTATAATAATAATATTTTATTTTATATAATTAATATAAAATATAAATATTAGATTAAGTTAATAGCTTTTTTTTAATTAAAGTAATAATATTAATAATAAAGATAAATAGAAGATCTTTTTTATATCGATTTATCGATATAATATATTTAAATAAATAATAAATAAGATATATTTAAATAGAGTTTATATTAGAGATATAAAGATATTATTAAAAAAAAATTATTTTAAATTTTAAGAAATTCTTCTATCTATTATATCTTCTTTTAAATATATTAAATTCTATATTCTTCGAAGGTTTATATATAATAAATAATAATATTCTTTTTTTCTACTATAATACTTATATAATAAAGATTTATTTTATAATAACGCTAGATAAGATTAAGTATTAAATAAATTAATAAGTTAATAGAAAAGATATTATTAATAAAATATCTTTATAATAATCTTACTATAATATATACTCGATAATTCTCTAGATTTATAAGATAATTATAAATTAAAATTTAAAAGTATTTTTATTTTTATTTTTTTTAAATATAATATAAATAGCTTATCTCGCTAATTATAATATTAAAATATTATAACTTTTTTAATATATTTTTTTTAGAGTTATTAAAACTTTTCGCGCTAGACGTATTTTTTCTTTTTTTACTTATAAATAATTTAATTTTTCTTTTATACTTTATATATATTTCTTAACTAATACTTATTATTCTTTATTTAAATTATTTAATAATTATATTTATATTCTTTAAATTAAGTATTATACTCTCTTTCTATTAAATAATATATAATATAAATAAATTATTATTAAAGACTTTTATATTTATTTAATTTAAATTCGCTTAAAGAAATATAATAATATTTTTATAAAGAATATTAATTTTATTATTAGCTTTAATCTACCTATAATTTAATAAAATTATAAATATTTTTATATTAATAGTTAAAATTAATTTCTATATAAAGAATATAGTTATTAAATTAATATCTAGAAATAGATATAAATAAGTTTTAATAATAATTAATTTATTATAACTAATACTATATAAAATATAATTTCTTATTTTAATAGTTAATTTTTCTTTCTTAATAGCTATAAAGATATTAATAAAATTATATTTAAGAATATTATACTATAAAGAGTACGATATAATTTCAAATAGCTATTACTATAGCTTTATCTAATATTATCTTTATTCTTCTTTAAAATAATATTATTATTTATTTTTACTTTAAGATTTTTTTTAATATTATTATTTAGTTTAATTATAATATATCGATATAGTTTAATTTAACTTAATTATTAAAGATAATTAAGCTTATTTTCTAAAATAATTTTTTTTATATAAAATCGCTATAATATTAAAACTATCGATTATATATTTTAAGATATTTAAAAGAATCTTACTTCTTTTAATAGTATAATTATATACTTTTATAATAATTTTTATTAAATTCTTTTAATTATTAAAAATATTAAGTTAAATTATATCGCTTAAACTATATTAAGAATACTTTAACTTTAAAATTATATTTATATTCTTAAACTTATAAAAGATATAAGACTTTAAAACCTTAATCTAATTAATTAAAATTAAATTAATATAAAGAAATTCGTTTGAAGACTATTAGATATAAATAATAGTATTTTAATAACCTTTAAAGATTAAAAAGCTATTAATTAATTAATCGAATAGTTATTAAATAACTTTATTACTTAATTAATCAATATTATTTATAGTAATTAAATCTATATTAAATATCTAATTTCTATATATCTAAAATAATTCTTTATATCTTTAATAAAAATATCGCTTAATTTAATAGTTAGATTTTCAATAAGTTTTTTAAAATTATTTTTATTTTCAATAATAGAAATTAAGTCGTTAATAAGAAAAATAGCTTCTTTCTATCTACTAAAATAATAAATACCTTTAAATTAATCTCACTTTTATTCTATTACTTAAAGTTAAAATAAAATTATATAATAATATTATTAAGAAATTTAGAGTAGCGTATAAATCTATATAATAGAATATATTTATAAATTAAATATATTAAATCTAAAATATTTAATTATTATATTCTTAAGAGTAAATATAATAATAAATAATATTATATATTATATATCCCTCTAGCTCTATTTAATTAAAACGATTTATATACTCTCTTTTAATATATTTAATTCTTAATTTAATTAATTTTTAATATAATAATTAATAAGATCTAGAGCTAGTTATTATAGTAAATTAATTTATATTTATATTTTAAAATCTTTATCTATAACTAATTATATATAATCTTAACTTAAATTTTTAATAAAGTTAATTTATTAATTATAGCTTTAGACGATTTATTAAAAAGATAATTTACTCGATTAACGAGATATATTAAAAATAAGATTATTAAATAAATACTTCTTTTATAAATAAAAATATAATTAATTAGCGATTTATAATAATAGAAGTAAACTATTTATTATATAGAAAGTAAATAAAGTTTAATTTAATTTAGAGTTAAAGCTTTTATCTTCTTTATTATTTTTATAAAAATAAAAGTTAAGTAAAAACGTATAGTAAGCGATTAGAGTTTTTTTTAACTTAGAGCTAAGACTAAAATTTTATTAGCCGATAACTCAAGCCTCTCTCCTCTCCTCTCCCCTCTCCACTTTCTCCTCTTTACGATATCGGCTTCCCACTCCCTCGAGCTGCAGTGCGATGACTGCTGGATCCTGAATTAATCTTACGATGTGGTACTAGCTTTCGCCTCCCCTCATTCGATGCGATCAGGAGCAGAGGGTTCCTCAATTTACAAATTCTTACATGAACTGTAGCTGGAATGGGCTTGTGACTTCGCGCGGACAGCGACAACCGGGAGGCGAGAAGGCCAAGAACATGTTCATCGTCGTCGACGATGCCCTGTCATACTACTGTGCACAGGATGCATTGCAAGTGGTAGCTCAGGAGGGCCCTGCAGTGCTCTTGATGAGCTACAAGCACAAGCACTAGCAGTATGAAAAATTTCGCATCGCGCCACTTGCAAGAGGGTAGCAAGCACACGACGCTCAGCGGCCAAGGTCTTCCCCCGCTTTGATCACCCGCGCAATCCTCACATCAAATTGGAAATGTAACGACCCCCACCGCGCTGGCTGTCGGTAACTACACATGCAGCAAGCGAGGTCTATTGTCCCACGAGTACGACGGTACGCCCGCCATCTAAATGACAACCGTCTGAAGTCAAAATCTACAACAAGAAAAATGGCCGGGTGGGCCGACATAGCGGGCATCAATGGCTGGATGGGAGCTTCGAGCAAGTCAGAGGTATCTGCTGACTTGCAAGTATACCAAAGAAAGAGAGGGAGGCATATTCAGCTACGTTTCTCGATACTTTTGCCGTGATGGGTAAGCCTTTCTATATCTTCTGTCCTGCCGCTGTCGCTTTTGGAGTCAAGCAACGGAGGTTATTATGATGCCCGCGACAGAATGGTGATCTTGAATCAGCACTCACGAACTTGAACGACAGAGGAGACGAGGAGATCGAGGACGGTATCTAGACACATGACAGTTCAAAGATTATCTGCACGAGTCACGATGTACATTGTGTATTCTGTACCAACATCCCATCTCCTTGCAGAATAGTCTACTGATAATCGCCCAAATCTGAAAATGTCTCACCCGAGAAGATGGAAGACTCACTATCTCTCTCGTTCAAGTCAGTATTCTTCGGTGTATAGCCAGGGGGCCAGGTGTCGTAGATATGTCGATTTGAGTTCACCCACAGTTTTAAGACGTCGAGGTCATGAAATTCAGGTGTTCCGTAGACTGAAGAGGGTTGGTTGGGATCCCGGGTTTGTCTTTCGTCGAGCATAGTATTCCTAATGTCTCCGATCATCATCAATCCTGTCACGATCAATTAAAAGCCGAGATCGATTGTCATTTTCGTCATCAAGTATAATAAGCGATTTCAGGCGAGCCTCTGATGGGTGACCTTTCCATCTCTTGGCTTCTTCAATCAGTTTTGTTTGTAAGCCCGGCGCGAAGCCCTCTGATCCTCGAAAGATGGAACATTCCGCTCAGACGGTGTTGCCATGGATGTAGAAGGATTCGGCGGAGACCCCGGAGACCTCGAGGCAGGGGGAGATATTTGAGGTATCGATCTGCCGGATCTTGACAGCAGCGTGGACCTGCGAGTCCAGTCGGGTCGTCTCGATGGTTCGGGAGACGGAGTGCCCGGCGGCAAATCAAAGTATGCGTCGAATTCCGGCAAATCAAAGTATCCCTCGACCTCCCAACGAGGGTTGATATGTATAGCGTCCATAGACCGACTACGGGGCGGGAGAGTGAGTTTGGCATAACAAGATATGGGTGGAGTATTCAGAGCCTGACCATAGCTCTGAAAAGCGGTTGGATGGTGAATAGAGTCGGGCTCAGCAAAGGAATCCCGATCAGGGTTGTGGAGAGCCACGGAATCCTGATTAAAGCTTGGAGGAGTATTCGAACATCGATTATAGATCGAGCGTTGATTTAAAGCTTGATCAGGAGTTGATGAAGAATCAGAAGCTTGATTATAGCTCTGATAAGCAATCGGAGCGGGATTGGAGCTAGGCTTAAAAGAGGGAGCCCGACCGAACACTGGCAGAGCCATAGGTTTCTGGTCAGAGCTCGGGGAGGTGTTCGGAGATCGATCATGGATTGAGCGAGCTTTCGAAGCTCGACTAAGGGTTGCGCCAACTTCCTGACACCGAGGGTACCTCACAGGGAACAAACTTCGTCCATGTATCGGGCGAGCAATCAGAATTTGATTATGGCCTGAAAGAGTAGTTGAACCCTGAGAATGACTTGGGCCAGTAATACAAGTCTGATTAAGGACCTCGGCAGGGATAACAGCTCGCGAATGGCTCGAGTGAGCATTCAAAGCTTCAGCAGGGTCCCAGACAGCAGTTGAAGCCCAACGTTGGCTTGAACGAATATCAGGAGTCCAATCATGGCCAGCCACAGCTAGCAGGTCTGATGCGGTTTCTGTTGACCAGGGGGATTCCTGCAGAACTGCTTCGGGGAGTTGGAGGAGATTACCGGGTTCCAGAACAACAGGAATCCCTAATGCCGCTCGCCTGATAACAGGTAGGGTTTCCTGATCGTCTCCATTGTCTCCTGCATCTCTCTCCAAATCAACTGCGATCCCATCATTATCTTCATTGTCTTCTAGACTTTACCCCGAACCGATGATTATATAGTCTTTATTTATATTATCCACTGTACGTTGGTTCGAATTGGGTGCGGTATCACCAGAGTTTGCGTTGTCACCTGTGTGTTGCTCTGCTCAAGTACCGTCATTCGATCTGTTGTTTACGGCGCATTGTACCATTGCAGTACCGTCGTTGGGCTCGCTGTCCGCAGGGTTCTGTACTGCCGCGGTATCGTCGTTAGATCCGTTATCTACGGCGTTCTGTGTCGCCGCGGTGTCCGTATTGTCTCTCTCAAGTGCTCTATATTGCTCCGAAGAGTCTGTTCCAGGCTATAGATCAGGCTTAAAGGAGACCCTGAAAGGTCTGTATCACCAGTTAGCCTGAGAATCGCAGCATCGGGAGAGACAAGGAGAATTGAGTAGAGATCAAGATTAATACGTACACAAACACGAAGATAGCAATCGCTATCACAAGTCCGGTGGGGGCCACAAATAGTAGTTTCCATTGGCATTTCCACTCCTGGAGAGTTTGAGCATCCCATTGCGCATATAGCTGATGCTTTCGCATCACAACGGTGAGGAGAACAGATATGAATGGGTCCCAAACGAGGCCAAGGACCACAGCCGTCACGAGCAGTACGACCAAGCAGGGAACAAAGCGCCAAACCCTGGCTACGGATTTTCCCCTGATCAGGTGCACGTACATTTTGAGGGTTGGGTGACGAAGCTGATAGGTTGAGTGTGTTGTGAGAAGATATCGAGAGGATGTACGGTACTGAACCAGAACCGTTGCCTGGTATGACTTGGTGAGTGCGTGCGCCAAGTGAACGAGTACGCTGCGGTCTACTGACTGTAGTTATTGGAAATGGTATGCACTCAATGGTCTCAAATCATGAAGTATAGTTGTTTATTGTCATGTTCTATGAAGAAGTATGTAGGAAGGATGGAGGTGACTACCTATCTATGGTGTGAAGCCACGCTAAGGCTATTTGCCACCATAAGGCGTAGTCACAACACCTCTTTGGAACTTAGTAGTGTGTGGACATGCTGGCCTCCTATTGGCTGATTCCAACACTCTCACACAGTCCAAATGGTGGGCTGGAAACACTATTAGTTCCTATTGGAAATGATATGCATTCAATGGTCTCATATCATATAGAATGATTATTTATTATCATATTCTATAAAGAAGTATATAGGAAGGATAGAGGTAACTATCTATCTATGGTGTGAAGTTACACTAAGACTATTTATTACTATAAGACGTAGTTATAATATCTCTTTAGAACTTAGTAGTATATAGATATATTAACCTTCTATTAGTTAATTCTAATACTCTTATATAGTTTAAATAATAGATTAAAAATACTATTAGTTTTAATACTCTTATATAATTCGAATTTAAACTATTTCTTTTATTTACTCTTCTTAAATTTAATTTAATTTATAAATATAATAAATTTATTATTAATAAAAGCTTTAATAAGTTTATTTATAGTTATATTATTTATAGAAATCTATTTAAATATAATTACTTTTATTTCTACTTAATCTTATATAAAATATTATTAGATATTAATATACTTTATATATAAGTAAAAACGAGAGTTCTTTATTAATATAATAGTTTTTTAATTATTTATTTTAATTAATATTAATCTATTAGATAATTTAAAATTAATATCTAATTCGCTTAGAAGTTTAATTAATTATATAACTTTCTTTACTATCTAGATCTAAATTATATATTTAATCTTATAAGATAATAATATAATAAACTATTATTATTTAAACGTTTAATTAATTATTTTACTATAAAATAAAAATATATAAATTTTAAAAATTTTAAAAATTTTAAAAATTTTCTAATTTAAGATTTAATTAGTATTCGTATAATTTTTTAATATATTAACTATTTTATATATAATATTATAAATTAATATTCTCTTTAAATAACGAATAACTCGTTTAATAACTATAATATATTTCGAATTAAGATTATAATTATATTATAAAAGAATTATAATAATAAAATAGATATTCGAGCGAGTTTAAATTATAGAATATATTATTAATTCTATTATTAATTAATACTTCTAAATAACTTCTACTTTAATTTAATTAACTAGTTTCGTTTATAGCTTAATACTTTTTATTATTAATCTAAAAATAAATATATCATTAGTTATATGAAATCGTAAGAGTATCTTCTTTAAATATATCGTTTAAGTAATTTAAATAATTCTCTTCTTATAATTTCTTTAAATTTTCATATTTAAATAGTATAAGTATAACTCGAGATCGGTTATAGCGAATCGCTTATAAAGGTCTTATTTAAATTCTAATATTTATTTTAATTCTTTTAAATTATAAATATCGTTTATATATACGCTAATATTAATAAAAAGTTTATTAATAAATAATAAGCAATTAAATTTAATAGATTTAAATTCTTTCAATATAAGAAAGTCTCGTAAGATAAAGTATTATTCTTATAATAATTACTTTAAACTATATAATACTCTAAGTAGTAGATATATCTTATTATCTTTCTTATATTCTTTAAACTATTTTATATAAATAATTTTCTTTAATAATATATTAAGAAATATAAAATAATATCTATTTACTTATAATTTAAATTATACTATACTATTAATATAAATACTATTTTAAATAGTATAAATTTAATAATTTAGACGAAGATTTAATTATAATTAACGCTATAGATTTATTTAAAACCTTAAACTATTTAATATACTTTATAGAGGATAAAGCTATTGAATTTCTTTTTTATCTTATAAACTTATTTATTAATAAGAATTAATATATTTTTTTCATTCTCGAAATAAGCTTTTAAATATTTATTATAATAAAGAATTTTATTTATTTATCTATAATCTTCTTTTATTATTTAATATAAAGATTAGCTATTATTTAATTATAGATTAATAACTTAAAATCGTTAATCTTTATAGCGGCTTAATAATATCTTATATTAGTTATTTACTAAATAATAATAGCGAGATTAAAAACAAAATCGAAACTATAGTAACTTAAATCTTTATAACTTAATATAATTTATTTATAATATAAATATTTCGATTTAAAATTATTATTATATTTAATATAGATAATAACTCTCTAGACTTATATTTTAATATTACTTTATTTATTATTTAAAAGAACTTTCTAAGAAGATATAAGAGTTTATTTTAATTAAGAATTATATATTATATTAAGATATAGATCTAGATAAGTAATGAAATTACCTCGAGATATCTCTTTAATATCTTTATTATTAAATATTTCTAAGTCTAGATTATTATCTCTTATACTTTTAATTAATTTAATTTTTTTAATATTTCTAATTTTATTTATATTAATAAGATTTATAATAATATTAATAACGACTTTAAATATATATTAATTTACTATAGAGTTATTATCTATATTAGATATATTTATTATATTATTATTAATAGTCTTAATTAGCTAATAGCTTATATTCGAGATTATAATAATAATTATTTATAATTTACTAAAATCGATATAAGAGAATTATTTTACTTATCGAGTAGCTAAATTCTAACTCGAGATTTCTAGATTAATATAATATCTTTACTTATATAAATAAGTCTCTTAAAATTTATCTTATTTAGATATCTTATTTAACGATATTATAGCTTAATAACTTTCTTATTAAATATTAAACTTATTATTAAGACTTTTATATTCTTTTAAATAAATATTAAAATCTTAATTATAAATTATACGATATTAAGACTATAGATATTATCTATCTTTAATATACTATTAATAAATTTACTACTTTAAAGAATATAATAGTTATTATTAAAAAAGATAATTTTAAATTCTTTTTATATAATCTAATTAATTAAAAATAGTTTATATATAAAATTCGAAATATATAAAACTTTATTAACTTTTTTAATATTGCTAGATCTATTTTATAATAGCTATTTTATTTTAATTATATCGCGATTTTATATCTAAATAATAGTTTTATTAATTATTATAATATCTATATAATATAACTAATAATTAATAAACTTATTCTTATTAAAGAATATATAATTAATATAATCTAAGTTTATTATTTATTTATATATAATAGTAGATTAATTATTTATATATACTATATAGAAGAGAAAGTAAGTTAAGAATTTATATAATAATTTATTAATTATTTTATTCTCTAGAGAATTAAGTAAAGAGTTAAGAATATTTTTAATCTCTTAATCTATCTTATTATCTAATTTTAGACTAGCATTAAGCTAAGATATTAACTAATTTCTTATATTCTCTTATAATTCTCGCGATTTAGCTATTTTAATTAAGAGATAATCGAGAGACTTAATTTTAAGCTCTTTATTTATTATTCTTTTATTTATTTTAGATATTAAGCTACTAATTAAGTAGTTTTAATACTCTTTATCTTTTATAATATTCTTATTATTAATTACGAGTAAAGATCTATAAATTAAATTTATAATTGTTTTTTTAATTAGGGCTATCGAGTAAATAGGTGAGCGATCTTTAATTAGCGAACTTTAATAAGCGATATTTTAATTCATTACGCTTAGATAATTATAAGACTAAATTTAAGAAAAGAAGAAAAAGTTTCGAAAGCATATATTTCGTTCTATAATTTAAAAAAAAATTTCTCAAAATTTTAATAGAAAATTAAAAAGTTAATCTAAAGTTAAATAATATATATCTATTTTTTAATTAAGGCTGTTCGGCTATCGAGCGAACTTTGATAAGCGAACTTTAATAAGCGATATTTGAATTCCTTGCGCTTTAATAATTATAAGACTAAATTTAGAATTTTTTTTTTATCTAAAAGCTTACATTTCGTTTTATAATTTAAAAAAAAATCTTAAAATTTTAATAGAAAATAAAAAAGTTATTTTATATATTAATAATATATATCTATTTTTTTAATAAGAAAGACGTAAAAGAGCGAGATTTTAATAGTTACGGATATTAATTTATTTATTCGCGATAATTTAGCCGATTTAATTAAAGAGCGTAGCGAACTCGAATTTATAATTAGCTATATATATAAATTTAAGATTTTTAAGCTTAGCTCTATCTTATTCTATTATATATATTAATAATATAAACTATTATTAAAATATTAGTATATTTTTAATCTATAAAATTATTCGATCTATTAATTATATTAGCTATATTTACTTTAAACTTAAAGTTTAAATTATTATTATTATTATTATTATTTTAAAGTCGATTAGATATCTTTTTATTATAAAGAGTCTAATAGATAAATAGTTAATATCTCTTTTTACTTTTATTTAATAATAATAAATACTTTAAATACTTAGATACGTTATCTAATTTCTTATAATAAATACTATTTAAATTATTTAACGAGGGATTAGAATTATAATTATTATTTCTATCGTTATTTTTATCTCAATAAAATTTTTAAAGTAATAACTCTATATTCTAAATTATTATTATCTTTAAAGATCTTTTTATTCTTTTATTTCTTATAGAATTTCTTTATAATAACGATTATAACTTATTTCTTATTATCTCGCTTAAAAAGATAATCTTATTTATAAAGAAGTATAATAATTTTATTAAAGTTTAATATATTATTAAGTTATATAATAAGATAATATATAAATTTCTTATACTTTTCGTTTAAATTATTTA